TGGTGTCTCCTCCTCATGTCCACTTCTCTGTCTCCATAGCAACCATGGTTGGCGAGCGCCGCAATGGGAACCTGCTGGTCCAGCTCGGCCCGCGGCTGCAGGCCTATCCTGAGGAGCTGATTCGCCAGCGAAGAACCCACGACGGCCAGACGGAGTACCTGATTCGCTGGTGCCTCGTCACCATCGACGATGGTTCCAGCTCGGGGGGCGGAGCCAGCGAGGGGGCCGGGACGGGCGGAGGCGGCTCGGGTGTGGGTGGGTCGGGTGGCTCTTCTTCTGGAGAAACCAAACCGGAGAACATCCTGATGTGGATGTCAACGGAGGACGTGTATGCCAACTGCCCCACCCTGCTGGGCAAGAGGAAGACAGACTCGCAGCGCCCCCTACAGCCGCAGGAGATGCAGCGCGGCGGCGAGGCGGCCGACGGAGGCCAGAGCGCCGCCGAGTTCCCGGCCGACGTTACGTTCGACGAGGTGGAGTTGTCGGACATGAAGGAAGACGTGAAGAACCTGGTGTGTCGCGCCAGGAAGCAGATGGCCAAGAAGAGCGACTTCTCCATCAACATCATGCACACCATCCACGTGCTGAGCGCCTACGCCAGCATCGGCTCGCTGGTCGGCGTCTTCAAGGAGACCGGCGCCCTCAACCTGCTCATGGAGCTGCTGTGCAACAAGGAGACGCAGACGAGGCGCAGCGCCGGCAAGATGCTACGGGCGCTCGCATCGCACGACGCAGGTAAACTTCATCACACTCGAGTAGCGCAGCCAATAGCACGAGTCCTGCCCTCTGATTGGACGAATTCAGGCTGAAGCACAGACTGCAGCTCTGATCAGTGTATTGATCTACAATTGGTCTGTAAATCAAAAATGAAGGTCAGAATGCTGCTCAACCTTGACCTGACTCAGCTTTAATCAGAACTCCAAGTGTGACTGAGTGAAGGTTTCCTCACAGTCTACGTCCACGCCATGTAAACAGACTTGGACCGTCCAGAGAGCTGGACTGACGTCATGTCTCCGTACAGCGTCGGAGCGGTTCTACTGCGACTCGTCACACTCTGAGTGCAGCTCACGCTTCAGACCAACGCTTCAGTGAATGTTTTCTGGTTTCGTTCCTCTTCCGACAGAACGAGATGTTTGTTGTCACCTTTGCTACATTTCTCAATTTTCAGACAATTTAGAGACCAAACAGCTGATCGCCTCGGAGGACAGGTGTGTACAGGTGTGTGTGTGTGTGTGTAGGTGTAGGTGTGTGTGTGTGTGTGTGTAGGTGTGTGTGTAGGTGTGTGCCAGGTGGGTCCCGGTGGCGCTGTGGGCCGACAGGTATCTCCAGAACATGCTGCTGCAGACTGAGCTGCCCTGGTCGGTTCTCTTGTTGTGCGTCCGTTGAACTGAAGCGTCTCTTTGGTGCAGTTTGTGCAACAGAGGAAGCAAATGAGCAGAGTCATGGACCGATGCAGGCCCGTCGCCTGTCGGCGCGTGTGGTCATTCAGCTGCTTCCTGCGTGAACAGACGTTTCTTTGAGTTTCCACCTGAACGACTGTTTCTGTTTTCTGATGGTACAAACCTCAACTTTAACTCTACATCTGATGCAACTGAAGTAAAGGCCGACAAAGCTGCAGCACATTTACTGACAGCAGCACCGGAGGCAGCGCTCTGAAACAGTCCTGAGCTGAAGGTGGAGCTGCGAGAAACGCAGAGCGCCACCTGCAGGAGCAGCTGCTCAGCTGCACTAAGCAGGAGTCAACGTGTCGACTTGCTGTGCAGCTGTGAGCGCATGAAGCCGCTCTGAGGTGCCTTTAAGTCACTGTGAGATCAGAGAAAAGCCTCTGAGCTGCTGGAACCTCACAGCGTCAGCGTTCAGCCGTCCTCAGAGACCTTTCACATGTAATCGTGAATCAATATTAAAACAGCAGTAGAGTCGTGTAAACTGTCATTTGAAGGGTTAAAGTCATCGACAGCCACGTCCGCGTCATGAACAGGTCTGACAGTCGAGTGAACCGCTGCTGCATCATGACATGCTGCTCTCTGTCTGTGGGTTCAGAACAAGACATTTGTCCTCTTGGACTTTAGAAAACACTGATGCACATATTCCACCTTTTTTTTTTTTTTTGACGCTTTATAGACCAAACAGCTGATCGATTCATCAAGTGTGGAGACTTGAGCTGCTGATCAGGAGGTGGACGAAGAGCTGAGTGGTTGTCCAGTAAAGTCACAAAATAGAGTTTATCAAGAAGTCCAAGATGACAGATGTTTTGTTTTGTCCAAAAGTCTTTAGTTTACTGTCACAGAGGAGGAATGAAACTGGAAACACCACATTTAAGAAGCTACAATCACAGAATTTAGGTTGTTTTTGTTCAATCAGCTAATTAATTGTTGCTGGGCGAATTAACAGACATCAGGTTGACGTGCTGACGCTGCTTCGATGTTCATCTGTCTTCAATAGCAGATCTCTGCCGTCCAATCACACAACACTTCTCTGATCAGCTGACTTCTGATTGGTCCAAACATTTTCAAAACACCTCCCTGTTAGTGGTTTTACAGAAGAGATGACTGGAGCTCTCAGAAACCAGACAGAGTGAGTGCTCTCTGCTGGATCTTATCAGTGTTTCCTTCCTGCCGCCCCGGTGACTCATGGGAAAAACTCCCAGCAGCTCCCTGCCCAGTTTCTCCACATGTGACCAAAACCAGCTCAGAGCAGCAGAACAGATTCTTCATTTAACTGGAGAAAAGTTTCAGCTTCAAGCACGCCAAACTTCTGACTGTAGAGCAGTGGTTCTCACACTTCTTCTGTCCGCCCCCCTCAGAGGACCCCCCTCGCCTTTAAAAGTCATGAGATGAGCCAGTTTCAATCTACTGAAATTAAACATCACGAGCAGTCAAACGGCTAACCCAGCTGCCGTCAGTCCTCCGGCTCGTGTGTGTTAATTTTTAAGAAAATGTATTAATCCATTATTGTTATGATGACACTCAGGATAAATCGATCAGTGGTTTGGTCTCAAAAATGGTGAAAAATGTGGATCAGAGTTTCCTCAAATGTCTTGTTTTGTCTGAAGAGCTTCAGTTTGCTGTCACAGAGGAAAGAAACCAGAAGAGATTCACTGAAGAAGCTGAGATCCGAGAGTTCAGACTGTTGTAATGAAACAATGACGCAACAGATGGAGTTTCATTTATGTGGTGACACCTAATTGATCAGTTGCTGCAGCTTTCGTTGTGAGGAGTGTTTCTGATGTTTGATAGACTGAATGTTTGTGACAGATGCTGCAGCTGTTGCAGGTGCCACACCTGTTGCAGGTGCGGCAGCTGTTGACGTTGTCCCGGTTCCCTGCAGGCAGCCGGGCCTACGTGTTGCTGTCTCTCAGTCAGCAGGACGGCATCGAGCAACACATGGACTTTGATAATCGCTACACTCTGCTGGAGCTGTTCGCTGAAACCACGTCTTCAGAGGAGCATGGCATCTCCTTCGAAGGGATTCACCTGCCTCAGGTAACCAGGTTGCAGATGTACAGGTGTGAACATTAAGTGTTCTGTTGGTGGAACCTTGGAGTAAAGGTGGATAAATGTAGGAGGGTAGATGTAGAGTCAGAGGGTAGGATGTTCTGAGGCTCCAGCAGATGGAGAAAACCTGTGTTCTCTCCATGATGTCAGTAAATGTACCATAGATCAGCTGTAGTACCTGGTTGTTCCACCAGGTGGAGCCTCTTACTGTTTAATCCTGTAGAGACCAGAGGAGGCGTCACTCAGACTACAGTTCATGTTGGCAACAGAGAGCATTGTCATGGTTCCTGTTGCTAGCTAAACTCCCACAGAGACTAATGTGGAGGTTAAAGACCTCCAACCAAATGATGCCTCCATCCAGCAGGGGGTGCTGCTGCTCCCAGAGTTAACCTTCACCTGTCTGTCCAGATCCCTGGGAAGCTGCTGTTCTCTCTGGTGAAGCGTTACCTGTGCGTTACGTCTCTGATGGACAAACTCAACACGGCGGGGGTGGAGTCAAGCTCTGACAGACAGGATGCCAGCCCCTCCCCCGCCTCCTCCAGCACCGCCCACCAGGCCGAGCACCTGCGTGTCCAGCGGGAGTTCGACTTCACCATGGCGATGGCCAACCTGATCTCGGAGCTGGTCCGAGTGATGGGCTGGGACCGGAATCGCCAGCCGCCTGATGGCTCCGCCCACCACTCAGCAGGAGGCGGAGTCTGCGGAGAGGAGCAGGAGGAGGTGTCCCGGCCCGTCCTTAGGTCTATCTTCCAGCCTCGGTTCTGCGCCTCACCCGCCGCTCTCACCGTTAGCTCTGCTGTCGCGGCGCCGGTTGCCACGCCACCAAAGAAGAAGACAGGAAACGGATTTAAGACACGGTCGGACTTCGCCAGCCGCTCAGCCTATGTGGAGTACGTCCAGGACAACCTGAAGAGCGGCATGATGGTCCGCATGCTGGAGGACTATGAAGAGGTGACTACCGGAGACGAGGGCGAGTTCCGCTACAGCAACGATGGATCTCCACCTGTACAGGTGAGGAAACTCTTTACTGGTTTCACTGGTCCCCCGCAGGTAAACTACAGGTTAACATTAAAGTGCCGATGTTTAACTCCGCTGTAATGGAAGCAGCAGGACAGAGCTGCAGCAAACACAGTCTGTTGAATTAATCAATAACTGTTCTGATTGATCAGTTTGAGATCGCAGCTTTTAAATGTGAAAATTATCGAGTTTCTGTCCTCTGTGTGAGAGGAAAACAGGATCTCAAAACTTTAAAACACGATTATGTTAGAAAATTATATTAACGCAGAGTGGATCCGGTCTATAGATGGTTCTGGTAGGTTCTGGAGGTAAAACGGTCCTTCCATTGTCTAGAACTGGTTCTGACCAACCACCATCACACATGCTGATATGAGCCTGGAACGTTTACCCAGAATGCACTTTGTAAAGTTTCCTCTGGTGACTGATCAGAACCAGAACCACATCCAGGGTACCAGTGATTGTTTCTATGACTCTGTGTCATAAACATTAAACTGGTACCACTATGATCCATCCCATAATACTGATGCTACCAGCTGCTGACAGAGGACATGAACAGAACCAGGTCCAGTGTTCAGACTGGGACACCTGGATGGATGTAGAACTGATCTGGTGTCAGGTTCTAGCAGAACCCAGATGTGTTCTTCCTCCTAAATGTCATGTGTCTATCTGCTGTACTGATGAAGTTCTGAGGCTCAGAAATGATGGAAAAAGTCCATTAAAGTGATCAATCTGGACCCTCCTCTGTGGACTTGAAGGACCTGGACCTCTGGAACATTCACAGTCTGAAGGTAGAACTCTGGTCAGTAGATAAAGGTGCTGCAGAACCAGAACCAGATGTTCTGAGGTTTGGTTTATTGTTCGTTGACTGAACCGTACTTTACAAATAGTTTGATGAGTTTTTGAAGCAGAGCTTCTGAAGAATTGGCAGAATCCTCTCTGAACTGGTTTTGTGCAGCTCGTCCTTGTTGTGTGTTGTTTTGTCCAGAGACATGCTGAGCTTACCTGGTGCCTCTAACCTGTCTGTAGGTGAGAGTCTCTGATGGCCTGGTTACCTGTCCAGGTAAACCTGCCTCCAGTCAGCTGGGACAGACTCCAGCATAAAGTGGTGCTTAGATCATGGATGGACGGTTTTACGTCAGAACTGAGCAGCAGACCTTCAGCTCTGTGAAGTTGTTTCTGTCTGTTGGTGTTTCGTCCATTAGACAGTCGTACCGATTGTTGATCAGCCTCCTGGGAGGACTGTCTGGTACCGCCAGTCTAACAGCAGCTCTGACCATCGTCTGGTTCCACAAATCTGTACTTATAAGCTGCTCATAATTCAGATACAAACATGAGTTTGCTGAAAGTGAAACCAACTGCAGACACCAGTAAGCACACAGCAGGGGGCGCTGCTGCACAGCACTCGTGTTAAAGTAGCTCCTGCAGGTGTGTCTGAACATGTGTACTGGGAATCAGGATCCAACGGGCTCTGCTGTGTTCAGGTCTACTGGAACTCCCTGTCCAGGACCTACTGGGTCCACTGGCACATGGTGGAGATCCTGGGCAGCGGCAGCAGCAGCCAGGCCGAGAAGGAGACGCAGGAGAAGGCCTCGTCGCTGACTGAGACGCTCAAACTCACCGCAGGTAGGAGCCAATCACAGAGCAGCAGCTGCCTGTGGGGGGTGCTGCAGAGCACCAACAGCACTGAAATGAAGTTCTCACTGAGTCCTGCTCAGTGTCATCTGGCTTTCTGATGAGAATTTACAAAAAAACACTCGTGTGAAAGTGAAAACAGATTTTTATGACTAATGTCAATAACTGAAGATGTAAATCAGTGGTTCCATCAGTGTTCTCCTCCTGCAGCCAGTGTTCAGTAGATGAACCTTCAGGTCCATCACTGATCATCTGGACGCTGCAGTTTCACCTCCTTCTTCTGATAAAACTGTTGAGGCTCTGTCAGGTTCCACTGGGGTCAGAGTGAACAGAACCCTCATCCCAGACTGTGTTTGTTGCTGATGTACCTGCACACACTTGCATCTGTTCCTTCTGTCACCTGCTGTGTGTCTAACTGTCGTCTTTAACTGTTAAGTCCTTCCTCCATTCACGCTGAGGTGTCTTATCAGTGAGCCAGACGTTCTTCTCGAAGCCTCCCGGTGGACTCTACTCGCTGCCTTACCTGTCCGAGGGCCAGCACGTGGAGCCGGCGGCGCTGAGCAGAGCCGAGTGGTGGGAGATCCTCTTCTTCATCAAGAAACTGGAGCTGAAGCAGCAGCAAGAGGTCAACAGCATCCTGCTGCAGAACCTGGACGACCAGGTAGGAGGTTCTGAACCAGCTGAGGGTTCTGCTCAGGAAGGACTTTACTGTCTTACAGCAAGGTGGAAGCTGGTTGTGAAGCTCTGGTGCATTGTGTTGTGCAGCAGACACACTGGACTGGGCCAGAGTTCTGGTTCACAGTCAGAAATGTGTTTTCTATTTTATTCTTTATTCAGAGTCAGTTTGGATCTGAAGCCGGTTCAGATCTTCTGCTGGCTGCTGATAATTGTACTCTGCTCTCAACATGTTGCCGTCCTAAATGAAGGGCTGCAGGTGTACACGAGTTGTGTCGCAGCACTTCCCGTCTGACATCCCATAAATATGAACAGTAGAAATAAACTGGATGTTGTCTAGTTAGCATGTAGCTCCATGTTTCAGGGAGAGCTGGTTCGTGGCCTCAGATCTGAGCCGTGTTTCGTGCCTCTGATCCCTCTTCTGTCCTTCCTCTGTCTCAGGAGGCAGAGCTTGATGACTCGTCTCTGATTGGTCTGTCTGTCCCCGGCGACGTGGCGAAGAAGCTCCTTCACTACCTGAAGCAGAAGCTGCCATCTTCATGCCTCAGCGACCTGCTCTGCTCTCACTCCTTCGTCAAGCATTACCTGAGGAGAGGAGGAGGCAGCCTGGAGGACGAGGAGCTGCTGGGTGAGACAGACTCCGCCTCCTCGCCGTCCTACTTTTCTGTCCTCGCCGCCTCATGTCTCACTGTGTTTTGTCCTGCAGCTGAAGGCTCTCTTGGTCCAACCGGCATGGCGGGAGCCGGAGCTCCGAGCTTCTCCTCAGTGTCTTCAGCCTCCACGTCCTCATCTTCAGCGATGGGCTCCGTCTCCAAGAAGGCTAAGAAGGAGCTTCCGTCCGATTCGGGCTGCGGCAGCTCGGAGACGGACAGCGAGCTGCCGACGGAGGACGACAGCAAATACCCCGACGACCTGGAGGACAAGATGAAAGGTGGGAGAAGCCGACGCTCCAAAGAGCATCTTGTGATGATAAAGCTGCTGACGGAGCTGAAGACACACGACACTCACAGAAAAGCAGAAAGCGTTTAGTCTGAAGTAGACATGAATAGAGTTCTGGCTGCTCCAAATACCAGGAACCGAGTGGAGTCAGAAGTGTTCAGGAAGAAACTAAAAATGGTGAAAACACAAGCAGGCGGCACCACAGGGGGGCGCCGTCAGGTCGGGGTTTGTGAAGCAGCCTTAAGGGCTTTTCAGCCTCCATCACATTTACATGAACCAACATTCAAAATGAAAAATTAGCTAAAAAATAAATAAGTGTGGCGCCGCTACAGCTCACCTGGTTACACTGGTGACCCGTGTACTGGGCTGTAGTCCCCGACACAGCGGTCCGTCCTTCCCCCAGTCTTCTCCCCACTCTCCTGTCTGTCTCTCTACTGTCAAATAAAGGCAAAAAGGCCAAATAAATAAAATTACATTTTAGAGAAAGCATCTAAAATCAGCAAACTGCTCCTGAACAGAATCCACATTTAGCTTCAGAACCGCGTTTCTATCTGCAAACATTTAGGATGACGAGACGCCGAAGACCAAGAAAATATAGTAAATAATAAATGTGATCAATAAATGTGATAGAAAATAAAAGCAATAAACAACAGCGTGCGACTTCCTCATAGCAGCGGGTCTCTTCTGTGTCTTGCAGTGTTCAACAACCCACGGGTTCAGGGCAAGAAGACGGTTCTGGAGAAGCTGGGTGAGGTGGTGGACATCCTGAAGAAGGCGGGCTCTGGCTCGGACCAGAACCAGCAGCTGGCCGCCGTCCTCTTCATCACCAGGCTGCTGGAGGAGAAAGGAGCTCAGGAGAAGAACTCCATGAGGAGCGACTCGGCCCAGACCATACGGTGAGGAACGGGTCCAGGAAATACACCGAGCCGGGACAGAATACGACTCAGTAAACACAGTCCGTCAGTTCTGCAAAAAAGTGCCTCCCAAAGGAGAAATAAGACCAAATTTATCCACCAAGTTTAAACATCTGTCTGGTTCTGGTGTCACACAGGCGTCATAGACGTTATCGACCAGCTCCATTCAGATCTGTGGATATTCATCGCCTGCTAACTCTTCTTTCTAGGGTCCCATACATCAGTGTACATGTAGTGTTACTGGAACTACTGGGATGCAGACTGCACATCCCAGTGGTTCCAGTTGGTCTTAAACAGGTCATTAACCTCCTCAGAGTCTCTGTCATGGTGCTGTTGATCCCACAGTGCCCTCTGCTGGCTGGGAAGTAGAAGGACAGGAACGCTTCTGTTATTTTACAAACATGTAAAAACCAGATTCCTCATCTATCATCAGTGTGTATCAAAGCTTCTGCATCCTGAATGTGTGTCCGTGTTGATCAGACGGGGGTCGTACGTACATCAGCCATCAGTGGTGGTAGATCCCAGGTGTTCTTCACCTGCCTGCTCGCTGCCTTCAGTTCACCACATACGGCAACAACACGCCTCTTTATGAAGCAAGTGGAGATTTATTTTCCTCATCTCATCGTCATCGTGGCAAAAAGGGCGACAAAGAGGAACTTTTCTGAACCTGAGATCGAGCTGCTGGTCAGGTTGAAGCAAACCAGAGAGTTTTGCTGATGACCACCACAGGTACTCCTGCTGGTCAGAGGACAGATCGCCGGCAGAAATTTAAAAGTGGTTTGATGTATCTCCACCAACGGGCTCCTCTGTCCTCTGGTTCTGATCCATGCTACATCTATTCATTGATCCAGTAGGATGGATTCTCCTCTCTGCTCTGTGGAAACTCTGGCTGCAGTTCACCTGAAACTCTCTGAATGTTTCCTGTTGGTCACAGCTGGGTCAGAACCAGGAGGAGGAAGGTTCTGGTTCTACAGGGTCAGAACCAGTAGGAGGAAGGTTGTGGTTCTACAGGGTCTGGTTAAAACAAACACTTTCTTTGTGTAGAATGAAGTGTTTCAGATCAGAGATTTGTTGTTTCTGACAGAACCAGGTCCCAGTAGATGAAACACCATCTAACAGTTAAGTTCTGCTCGTCGCTGTGGTTCCACAGCTCCTGATGAACAGAACCATGTTGATGTATTCGAGCAGCTGCTGGGTCCGTTTTGGGGCTAAATTCAGTACTTCCGGCTGGTTGACGTTGTGCTGACTGCTGTGTGTTTCTCTGCAGGGACAAAGTTCTGAAGCTGCTGGTGGAGCTGCTCGGCTCGTCCTCCAGAGACGTGGTGGTGAGCACGCTCAGACTGACCCACGTGCTCATGCTCAAGTACGAGTGGAGGGTTTCCTTCGCCACCGAGGGCGGAGTCAAAGCCGTGCTGTCCTGCATGCAGGAGTTCTCGTCCGTGGCACACGTGCAGCAGCTGGCGCTGGCGGTGAGAAACGCTCCGCCCACGTTCCCCCGCCACCTCCTGGCAGGTTCTGACCATGTTTCTCTCCCTGCCAGACCCTGAAGGTCATCACCGGCGCCAGCAAGCACGACCTGCGCAGCGTGGGCAGCAGCCCGCCGCTGTCCGAGTCCGGCACCCAGATGATGCTGGAGATCTTCGCCAGCATCGGCTCGGCCACGCCGGAGGGCTCCCGAGGCCTGCTGGCCGCCATCCCCGCCGCCATCGAGCTCATGCTGAAGACCAAGGGGTGAGCTGATCATTGGTTATTGATCACAGAGGCTGCGACCTGTCAGTGCTTATTGATCATTGGTTGTGTGTGCAGCTGCAGGCTGTCGGTGCGTAACGGGCTGCTGGTCATCATCATGCTCATCTCCAACCACAAGAGCCTGGCCGAGCAGCTGGTGGCCTGCGACGTCACTGCCGTCCTGAAGAAGTGTCTGACGCTGTCCAGAGCCGAGACCATGCTGGCCATCATCGCCCTCAACCACATCTCCATGGTGCACAAGCTGGACAGCAAAGGTTGGAGCACAGCACGAGCGTTACAGGAAACACGCTGTTCTAACTTAAAACTAACGTTGGTATGAAAAGGTAATGTTAGCATAATAGCTCCTCATGTTAACAGAGTGTGTGTGTGTGTGTGTGTCTCTCTCTCTCTCTCTCTCTCTCTCTCTCTCTCTCTCTCTGTGTGTGTGTGTGAGAGCAGAGTGTCGTGAGCAGCTGGACTTCAAGGACACTGAGCTGCAGATGTTAGTCGTCAGTCTGAAGGAACTGACGTCCACCAAAGAAGTGATCCAGACTCTGGAGCAGCTTCTGTGTGACGAAGCTCTGCAGCTGGAGGAGGAACGCAACCAGGTAGCGACACACAAACTCAGACCTCCAGAACCTCTTCAGAACATCTGGTTCTGATTCTGCAGAACCTTTATCTACTGACCAGAGTTCTACCTTCAGACTGTGAATGTTCCAGAGGTCCAGGTCCGTGAAGTCCACAGAGGAGGGTCCAGATTGATCACTTTAATGGACTTTTTCCATCATTTCTGAGCCTCAGAACTTCATCAGAACAGCAGATAGACACATGACATTTAGGAGGAAGAACACATCTGGGTTCTGCTAGAACCTGACACCAGATCAGTTCTACATCCATCCAGGTGTCTCAGTCTGAATACTGGACCTGGTTCTGTTCATGTCCTCTGTCAGCAGCTGGTAGCATCAGTATTATGGGATATCTCATAGTTTTAGCTGTTAGTAAATGATTCTCCTCAGAGTGGATCCTGTCCACAGATGGTTCTGGTTCTGGAGCTAAAACGGTCCTTCCATTGTCTAGAACTGGTTCTGACCAACCACCACCACCTATGCTGATATGAGCCTGGAAAGTTTACCCAGAATGCACTTTGTAAAGTTTCCTCTGGTGACTGATCAGAACCAGAACCACATCCAGGGTACCAGTGATTGTTTTTATGACTCTATGTCATAGACATTAGACTGGTACCACTATGATCCATCCCATAATACTGATGCTACCAGCGGTGTGAAGGTTTGATACTGACCAGTTACATGTACTGATCGGTCCTTCCTGGAATTGGACCAGACTGGTGTTAAAAGCCTGTTACCTGTCCAGGTGACCAGCAGTCGGGACACCTACCAGGACCTGGTGCGTCTGATGGAGCAGCATCGGGCCGACCGGGCCGCCCAGCTCTCCATCCTCAGGTACTGACCCGCCTCACGGTCACACTGCGTCTGTTGTAAGGCCTCGTCTGATTGGCCGTTTGCTCCCACAGGATCCTCAACAAGTTCCTGGACAACTATCAGGAGGACGTGCTGCCGTGGCACGAGAGCATCGAGCCCTGCCTGTCCTCCATGACGGCCTTCATCAGCGACAGAGAGGTGAGCTCGCCGCCGCCGCTGCTGCTGCGCCGCTGCTGCTGCGCCGCTGCTGCGCCGCTGCTGCTGCGTCGTGTAACCTGCTGTGATGCCCTCACAGGTGGTGCAGCTGTTCATCCGCTTCCTGTACCGGCTGGCGTCGCTGAACAAGGACTACGCCGTGGTGATGTGTCGGCTCGGCACCAAGGAGGCTCTGGTGAAGGCTCTGGACAAACACAGCACCAACCTTCTGCTGGTCACTGAGCTCAGAGACCTCATCACAGACTGTGAGAAGTACGCCAGCCTCTACAAGAAGATGACCACCAGTGTCCTGGCCGGCTGCATCCAGGTAACAGAAAGGGGGCGGAGCCAGGTGCAGATATTTCACCGTCAGTCTGATGTTACATGACGAGGACGCAGAAGGGTCAGTCTGAGTCGGATCAGACGGCAGCTCTGCTAGAATGTCCAGAAACCGTGTGGTCCAGCTTCACCACATCAGGTTCTGCTGATGTTGGAGCCTCAACGCGGATCAGAGTCTGTTCTGGATCAGTTACAAATAATCTGAATAGTTTGATTTACAGATATTTGTCAGATGTTTGTCACTACTTTCAGGGTTTTTAATTGGTGTTTTGGATGTTTCAAACAGTTTGGATACTTCTTTGTTGAATTTGCCAGCTGAGCTTGTTCCAGAGCAGCGTGTAGGTTCTGTAGATCCGTCCGGCCTCCATGTTCCTGTCAGAATCACTGATCGTACGTTTCAGCTCCTGGATCTTGTAGAAACAGGAACTTGACCTGCTCTCTTCCTGTCAGATGGTGTTGGGTCAGATCGAGGAGCACCGCCGCAGCCATCAGCCAATCAACATCCCCTTCTTTGACGTGTTCCTCAGGAACCTGTGCCAAGGTGAGTCTGGGTCCAGCTGGGTTCTGCTCTGACACCTGAACATGTCTGAATGCTAACACGAGGCTGCTTTAGGATCCAGTGTGGAGCTGAAGGAGGATAAATGCTGGGAGAAGGTGGAGGTTTCGTCCAATCACCATCGAGCTAACAAACTGACTGACAAGAACCCCAAAACCTACTGGGAGTCCAACGGCTGCACCGGGTCGCACTTCATCAACATCTACATGCACAAAGGTGTCGTCATCAGGTACTCAAAGCCGCCGTGATGGGATTTGTGGGGATTGAGCTGTTGTAGTGATGAAACAAGTTCTGTCACATGATCCTGCTCTTAGCCCCGCCCACACCGAGTGTGATTGGTTTAGAGACACACAGTGAAGACAGCTTCAGAGTGTGACCTCTGAACAGACTGTCTGAATGAACCCGCTGCAGCTCTGATCCCGTATGTCTCTGCTCAGACAACTTGCCATCCTGGTGGCCAGCGAGGACTCCAGCTACATGCCGGCCCGGATTCTGGTTCTGGGAGGAGACGACCCAACCAACATCAACACTGAGCTGAACACGGTGAGTCTGCGGGGAAGAACCCCATCAGACGTGTTCGTTCTTCACCCAAACCTCGATCCGATCTGTCACCGTGCGTCTGTGTCTGCAGGTGAACGTGACTCCGTCGGCTAGCCGAGTGGTTCTGCTGGAGAACATGACCAGGTTCTGGTCCATCATCCAGATCCGGGTGAAGAGATGCCAGCAGGTCAGATCAGAGTTCTGGTTTTGTCAAGTTCTTGTCATCCTGCAGGTCCTGACCTCCCTACTCTTCATCACAGGGCGGCATCGACACACGAGTCCACGGCTTCGAGGTTCTGGGTCCGAAGCCGACGTTCTGGCCCGTGTTCAAGGAGCAGCTGTGCTGCCGGACCTACCTGTTCTACAGCACCAAGGCCCACACCTGGTGTCAGGAGGTGATGGAGGACAAGACGCAGCTGCTGCAGCTCTTCAACAAGTACGACAGAAATACTACTGATACTGCAGAGATACTACAAATACCTACTGCTAATACTGCAGAGATACTACAAATACCTACTG